TTTTCAGGCGGGATAAACCGGTGAGGCATATTTTGTCGACGAAGCTGTTTTGCTATTTCTTGCTGCTGCAGATTTTTAAATCGAATCTGTTCTTGCCTCATCCAACGTAATCGCCCACGTCTGAAAGCTGGGTCACCCGCCATTAGCTGAGAAACACGCTCCTCTTTAGCAAGTTCATCATTGTCACTTCTTCTTACGTCATCTGTGGGCTTCTTATCCACATCCGCTACACCAGCAGAGTTTGGAGACTTAGCGTTAGCCATGGCTGCCTGAGCTTTCTCTGCAGACCCTATCAGAGGTAATACCTTCTCCATTTTGAGCATCTTATTTCTAAGAACTTTTATCTCTTCGTCCTTCATGTTATTCTGCTTCTTCACTTCTTGCAAAATATCTTCCAGCTTGTCTATGTGCACCTTAAGGTCATCCACATCTGTTATTCCTTTACCGTTGGCCATAACATCTTCAATTTTCTCATCTCCAACTCCTACCGTATCCCAGACATCACGGGCAACAGCTCGCCATGATTCACGCTCATTTGGATCTTTTTTCCCATACATGGCACAAAGCTCCTTCATTTTAACAATGGCCAAAGCCTCAATCTCCTGTCTAGTGTGCCTGAAGTCATTGAGCGCTACCTCATAGCATATCTCTTTCACAGCCTGGATCTTTAAGTCTGAGATGGTAACCCATTTGGAGTCTTTGCTAAGGCGTCGGCGTTGGGGGATCTGGTACATTTTAATAGGCTCTCGTTTCTTCCCACTGCTGGGGAGGCCACACTTTTTTACAATGGTTTGGAGCTTGCTGGGGGGCAGCTTCTCTCTCAGGGAAGTGATCAGTCTCCAACTCTCCTCACACGATCTCTTGTCCGAATCATCCCCACTATCAGAGTCTGCATCCTTTGGAAAAACAAAAATCAAGAAGTGGCCCCAAAATAACCAAAATTAAAATTGTAAGAAAATGGAAAAGCTAAACAAGAAGTAGCAGGCAAAGAAAACTAAATAAAAAATCAAAATAGAACAAGTGATAAAGCAGTCCCTGAAGACTGAGTGTTAGGACAAACACATCTTCGAGAGTCATGGACTATCAAAATTGGATCTCTTCACTAAATTAACATTATTCTTAGAAATCTTATCATGTCAAAATATCAGGTAATCTAAACTCTTCCCTCCCAGTCCCTTCCAAAAATCTTTATATATGCAACAAGAAAAAAAACCAACCAAGTTCCTGATTAAAAATGAAAACCAAGTGAAAACTGCACTTCATACATGCTACAAGGACATGCAAATCCCCGCCACACACATTTGCCTTGGTTACTGCTGTTGCTTCTTTCAGCAAATCCTCCCCAGGTAGGTGAATGTAACAGCCATCACAGAAGATGTCATGAGCAGCCAGAGTAAGTCGGGTTAACACTGGTTAGTAACGTTGCACATAGTTGCAGGGATGCTCAAGTTTAGAATCCGCTTCACTACAACAGCAGCCAGAGAAGGGTTAGACGATAAGAAAAAAAATGAAACAGAAGCAGTTGAAAGGTTCAGTGTTAAAAGGACCGTAAGTGCCACTAGGACAGGTGAAGACAGTGGTTCATACTTCAAGACTTGCTACAAGCTAAAAGGATATCCAGAACCAGAGTTTCAGAGGTGTTTGTTTTCCATTTGCCACCTTGTTTAGTTTTAAAAACACAAACAGGTCTTGACTGTCCGAAGAATGAGTTTCAGAAGAATGTAGCAGCAGTTACTTTTTTGTTTTTTAATTTCAAGTGTTTTAACACAAATTCTCAATTTTATATCCTTGACTTGTCCTCTTCTCAAACCCTAGAGCCTGGAGCTTCCACACACTTGCTAAGAGTTATGTTGGTTTTGCTTCTTCATTACAAGTTTTCCATCTGTCGCTAAATGATTTGGAATGAGCAGTGCTTGAGGTTTCCATATGCTAGGAATGGTTGTTCAGGTATACTGCACCAAAGTTAAGCATATCCCCCATTACTGCTTACTGCCACCAGGAATTACAGTTATACTACTTGTTTTTTGATTATTTTTTTTTTTTTCCTCCAAATGAATCACTAATTTAAGATACCTCTTGAATAAGTAAGGAAAGTCCTATGTATTTGTGTTACCCACTAGAACCCACATTGTCTTCAATTAAATACAGCAGTCAGTCTCCAATGAATCTCTAGTGTCCCTGTTTTTTCACACCGAGTTGTAATACATGAGAATTCAGGAACAGTAACTGCCAGTTAGACTAAAACCAAAAGGAAACCCAGGTCATCGACTACAAACCACAGGTTCCTGGTAGGAGGCCACACAGAACGGGGAATACAGTATAACTTGTCTCAGGAACAATGAAAGGAAGTAAGAAATATCGTTCTGCCCTATGGTCAACAAGCTCTACAGCCTAGGATTCATTTTCTTGAGCCACTTGTGATCTTATGTATGTTCAATATTTAAGAACAACTTCTACCACTTTCGGTCGCAACATCAGACTAGAAACAGAACAAACTCCGCATGATTTTACAGCTGACAAAATCTGTAGCCTAAGGAAAAAGCACCTAACAAACTGCATACTGCAGCAGAAATGAAAGATGCTCTGGAGGAAAACGCTGTACAAACTGCAGACTCAAAAAGAGGTCCAGAAAGGCAAAACACAAACTACTCAGACATTAAGGCATAAGTCCCACAGGATTATTCTTACAGGTTTCAAAGTTTCCATACTATTATTGATGGGTAAATTGATGTGTTGCATATAAAAAGATGATTAAGAGACACTATGTGGACTTTGTCTTACAGGCACTCAGAGATTAACCAACCTAATTAACATAAGTACATACCCATATTCTAAAAGTAAGTGGTCTCTGCAAAGGCATAATGACCAAGAAAGCCAGGATTTAGTTCTACTAAACACCTTTTCACATTCAGCTTGACAAGCAGTGAATGATTATTTCTATTTCCATGTAATGCCAGCAAGGCATATATGTTTGTTGGAAATAGTAGCCCTTGCCCTCCAAAAATTATCTTCTTTGTGCAGTGCATCTAACTATAAATTAATGCCCTATTTTGTTGGCATCTCAGGACAAAACCAAAACAGTTTGGTAAACTGAATTAGCCAGCATCTTACACTCAAGATTCTAATCTCATTTAGAACAAGAAGAATGTAAATATTTCAAAATAAATCCTGTATAGTAGTAAGATAAAGGACCTGAGAGCAGTGGGATATTATGGTAATGTAACTGTTGAGTACAGCAACAGAACAATTGGAAGGCACCCCCAGGTTTCCCAATCATTATTCGATTGCTGTTGTAAGCCATCAATCCTGTCCATTCCTGTCTCTGCTGAGTCTCTCTGTACAGTGACACAGAAATGCATCAAGAAGTCTAGCTGTCATCTGGAACATTCTCATTAAGCAGTGTGAAAAGCAGTATCCTGATCAACAGACCAGTGGTCTCATTTATTATGATCCTTACAGCTAGGAAACCTGCTCTTCAGGAACGCACTGGTAATGCATGAGGGATTGTCTTTCACTTTTGCCCGTTAAGTGATCAGAAAAATCACAAGCTTCAAGAAAACAGTAACTACAGTATGGTATTAGACAAAACTATTTAATAATCTTCCCCTAATCATAAGCATACGGGGCAACAAATCTCTCTTCACAAAGCTTGTATCAACACAGCCTCATTTTGCAGCAGATCCCCAGAGAGCCAATTATCACGTGTATAATTCATCCAGCAGCTTTATGCATGCCAGCCATTACAATTTAAGGGATGAAACTGCATGACTTGTATCTCCTCTGACACAGTCAACACTTTTTTGTTTGTTTTTGAAGCAATGCTTTCAGCTACACAAATTTTAACTATAGAGTTGAGGAAACATCACAGTGTCACATCAGCCTCTTTTCTGAACTAAGTTTGCTTTGGCTCAAAGTCTACAGCGACTCCATTCAAGAGATTAGTCCCTTGTAATGGAATCATTAGAAATGGAGAAAGCTTCAAGTGCACTGTACAACATAAATGAAAAGTGATGTAGCTTCTACATGTGGAAGCCAGTACTCTGCTCCACTTTGCTTCTGAAAGAAGCATTAAGTGGTTTAAATCCCAACACGCAATTTAACTTGCAATTTAAGTTTTCAGGAGCCTCAAACTCACAATAGAAACAATTCAACTGTGATTTTGGAATCTCAACGGTAATTAAGGCACAATTACATTTGAATTCTAACTAAAAGACACACTAATATAGTTAAAGCAAAATCAGGAGACTTGGATTTCTTAAGGAAATCTAAACGTCATCCCTGGTCTTAGTCACATTTTTAAATGCTTGGAAATTGCACACATTTCTATTTGTAATAAGCTTCAGAACATACTTTTCTTGCAAGTCTGAGGTCTTCCTATATGAGAAAATTTATCAGATTTCTTGTTAAAGAAATAGGTGAAATTGTGAATTCCCATTCTTCTGAAGGAGTTAAAATTCCCTTCACACACTTGTTCCCTAGTCACAACCCCACCATCAGCAGGTGTAGCATTAAGAACCTTACCATGCAGGGGAAGGGAAAAGGGTTAAAACATGCACAATGCAGCAACATTTTCAGACATTATTCAAAAAAATAAACCTAGCATATAATTGGTCTAGGAACCTCTTTGGCAGCAGAAAATTAGTACCTTCTGGTGATCCAAAACAAAAATCAAGGCAAACACCCCAAGAAGTTGATTAGACTACGGAACAGGAACTTCAAAAACCATAAGAGCATAGAAATGCCCTTCTTTAAGCCTACAATTCAAGAAACCTGCCTCCAGGAAAGGCTGATTAAAACCTCTTCACTGTCAATTACAATCCTAAATTAACATGAAGAAGCTCACTCACGCTGATCATAATCCATTGTAGACAATTATTTGACAGCAAAGGGATAACTGCATTGTGCAGACAACCCAAGCAGGTTTCCTAAACTTTCAGATAAGCAAGGATAGGAATCACTGTTTGCCAAAGGTATAGTTAATCTGAAGTAAGGACACATACCAGCCTTTGCTGCTCCAACAAGAGATCTGCTTCCTCCTTTTCCTTCTTATACAAAATCTCCATTTCTTGTAATCTAAAGACAAAATGACAGAAGTAGCCAAAGAGATCATTATTTTCATGTTGGTGTTACTATATACAGAGAACTAAATTACACTAGTTTAAAACAATAAGAGTAAAAATAGCTCAATTTAAAAGGAATTCCTTTTCGTTATACAGCTACTGTCCTCTTTGCCCCTTTAAAATCTAAAGTAAATAAATAAAAAATCACAACTGACTGGGATTAAGAATGCCCTTCAATCAGTTAAGAGGATTTAATTTGTCATATAGGAGAGGTCTAATAGACTGCTATAGAACAGAATCCAACGAAATATTGCAGTCCTTCACTGCCATGTGGTCAAGAGTTCAGGGCAGGTGGTTAAATAGGATCCATTTATTTACTGATTTTAAAAGGAGACAGAGAGCTGAAACACTCAAGTAAGGTTGGGGAATTTTTCTGAGCTCTCTAGAGGCAGCAGTGACAGCACATGGCAGAACAAGCACTGGAACACGCTGACAGATGAAGAGTGCTGTAACGCCGATGTTTATTTTTGGAAGTCTCACTTAGAAGTCTTCCATACATACATCAGACATCAGTTTTAGGTTCGCCACTGAAACCACTCCCACAGCCAACAGCTGTATCTTTCTTGCTGCAAATAGAAATTCTTATTTCCTTTAATACCTTTTCTCCATCTCTTGCTTCATGTCAATGCCCTGCTTCTCCAGAAGCTCCCTCTGAGCAAACGTCCAGTCAACAGGCTCAGAGGGAGTCTCAGCTGACGGAGTTTTCTCCCTTTCTGCTCGTGCTTGCTCTGGATGGTTGAATCGGAAGACGTGGTTTTTACCCATGATGATACGATTTCCTAAAAATAGCAACAGAAATTAATGCTTTCAGGATTCCAAAGCAATTAAAAAAAACATCACTGAATCATTCATTCCATTTATCTTCTTGTGTGGTAGCAACAGAGAAGACTGCTCAGTAAGGATTTTGGTAGACATTCGAGTTACTAGGTGACAAGGAAAACAAGAATATTTTGTTTGTAAAAAACAAGCCACTGGTAACATAAAGCATTGCTCACAGAGGACAGCTGCACCCTCTGAGGTCCAATCAAATGTTCTGCAGGGTTTAATCAAAAATTAAAGGACAGACTTGGTCGCTGAGGAACACAGCTGGAACAAATAGAATATCCACTGAAACCCATTCCTCTCTTTCAGTGACACCACCAAAAACAGAAGTCACTTAAATAGAAACTTCAGCTAGAAAAGTCTAACTTGAAAATAAGAATGCACACCTTTCTTAAAAATGTGCTTTATGTGTACATTAATTTGAGTTCTAATCAGTAAGATTTATGGAAGGATTTCATAGCTGCTTTTAACCAATGTGGGAAAGAGCTGAAGAAACATGATATTATCATTCAGCTACACCCTAGAGACATAAGATACTCACAAAGATGAAGACGACAGTAAAATTTCTCTGCTCTCCCATACAACATATTAATGCAGCTAAAATAAAAATAGAACCTCATTCTAGCAAGTAGACCTCCAGAGTAATCAGAATTCCTCTTGTCAATATATTGACAAAATGCAACCTTTTAATGATTTCAAAAGCCATATCTGAGTTTTTCTGGTAAGTCAATTATCCAGATGCAGAAGGAAAGATGAAAAAACATCTCTGTTTAGTTTAATCAAAGTAATTACTAAATGATACAGTTGCAATTTTCAGTGTGAGCCACATGCAGGCACAGAACAACTTCAGGTTTGTGCTGAAGTCAATACGCTTTATTACATGCAAATACTTGGTTGTAACTTTGTGACAAACAAATTGAGATGTTTGTTTTTAACTGCTGGTTGAAGATGGGTTAAAGATCATAATTTAGGGAAGTCACTTCCTCTCCCCTAATTCTTTCCCCATATGTCTTTCTAAAGGAATGTAGAGGATTGAGTATGAAATCTAATGAGAGCAAAGAGAAGCTGCTGTACTCCTGCAGAGGATCATAGCTTTGCCAGGAAGCTGGGAATTTTCCATCAGCAGCTGGCAGTCTGTCTGCTCTGTCTCACTAAGACTGCCAAGGGCAATAGGTTTGGGCAAGAATGTACTGGAATAACATCAGGGTAAGCAGAAGGACAAGCAGGATGCTGCGTGGCAGTGAATATTTAAGTATGCTTTCAGTTAGTGCAGAAAAGAATGAAGGAAAAGGAATTGCTGATGAGAAAAATGCTAACTTCTGTTTAAAAGCTGCGCTCCAAGGAAGTCTGCACTACTGCACTTTAATAGCATTCAACATTCTCTACGGATGACCTAAATGTCACACATATACAATTCTCAGATGTGGAGTCCAAAAAAGAAAACACCAACCTCTTCTAACATTTCTTACCTGAACGCAGTTGCACAGGCTGCACAACCCGCTTGCCATTAACATAAGTTTCTGACCGTTCACAAGGCTCCAAAGTAACAATAACTACAAAGAAAGCAACAACAAATGAGACTTCAGAGAGCACTGTACAGAAACTGCAAAGCATGCAAACCCTAGAGACCTCTCATTTTCTGACTCTTCCTATTAACACCAAAACAGAATGCAAGTCAATCACTCCTCAATGCTACAATGCTTAATAAAAATAAAACTCCAGCAATAGCTCAGTAATGCAGAGGGTAGTGATTGCTAGTAGTTTTCTGTTTGAATTTTCATGGTTACAGGTAATCAAAACCAGTTACCTATCAAAAGGCTGCAATTTGAACTTTACCCCAATTTTACTTTGTTCCACCTAGACTCAAGAAAACAGTCACAGCTGAGACAAGAGAATTTTGTGCCAATATGTAAATTAAGTATTCTCTGACCAAGTAACAAAGAATGATGTAGAAACTCAGCAGCACTTGGTTAGGAAAAAATAGCTTTTCACCTTCACCGTTGTTGTTCCTCTCACTTCGAAAGATACAGTGCTCTTCTTTGATGTGAGCCCCACTCAATACGATGTCTTGCCTTCGCTCAGCATCAGCCTGGCCAACCCTGAGTTGAACGGAGAACATTTCAAGAGCAAGTCAGACAGTTTCTACAACTCTGTAGTAAAATATAGCCCAGAAATATCCACGGAAGTCTGCAATGTTAAGCCCCAGAAGCACGAAGATATACATCCATTCTGAAGTCAAATGTTTGAGAATTTCTAGGTAACAGCTATCACAGAAATGGACACATTCATTTGTTACAAAGATAAGAAGGTGCTGCATTCAATAAGACAGCAGAAGAGACATGGTAATAGTTTATTTATACGAATTGAATGCTCAGTCATATGCTGGTTGCTTCCAAGTACTGTGGCTTTCAGTTCTCCACCATCAAAATCTCAAAGGCACTTCCAAGTGTACTTCACTCCTTTTGTTTGACTATATATTAAAAGGGATATTCTACTTTCTTTTACTGCCCAGTGCAATAATAAATATCTAATAAAGCATAGCGACTGCAGATATTACTTGTAAAGCACAAAGTAAACTTAAGGGAAAACGCGTTTCTGTGCTTTTCTCACCTACAGCAAATGCCATGCTTCACTTATACCTAGAAACTGAATAACTCAAGGAGCAATTATTATTTAATGTCAAGGTGTCTCCAGCATAAGAACGTAAGCAAGCAAACCAGACTTCAGAGCATATTAATACCAACCCTCACCTAGTAATACCATCTTTGATGTAGTAGAGCAGACATTCAGACATGAGTGGATCTTCATTAAGGTTTACAAGATGAGGAGTCTGAAATAGAAAAAGTGAAGGTAATTAAGAATTGAAGAGCTACTTCTAGGTTTCTTCCCACAGCTGTGGAGAGTGTATAATAACCAGCAGTTTTGCTATGCTCCATAATCCGCCTCTTCAAAAATAACCTCCTGTAATACTGGAAAGCCTCACAAGGTTAACAGCAGAAGCACAGCTCTGATTCGTTGATATTTCAGACAAAAAAGAAAGAGGGAATACTTATGGCTTCAGTTAAAAACATGACAATTCCTTGGAAAGTAAACTTGGATACAGAATATCCAACAGCAGAAATAGGTGCTCAAGTAAAGTTTTGCAACTGATATGGAATCAACTACGGCTTTCCCCAGGCAATACAGTCCAGGTGTTCATACAGCAAAGTTCACTGAAGTCAAACAAAAATCTAGAACTATCAACTGATACAAACAGCTAAAGAGCTCTTCATCTAAAGTTTTACTAGATTTAAATACACTACAGTTACTACAAACCAACCTTCTTTGGTGAAAAAACCCCATTGGAATCAGCAAACAAGTCACACGGCCTTGGTGTGAAAATCTAGCCAGTGAGATAGCAGTAAGCATAAGCACAAAACAAAGGCAAAAGTGGTTAAACAAAGAAAGAAAAATGATAAAAGAAAAATAAGTGTTAATAAGCCTCCTTTCATTCTGTTACTCTCAATTAGAATAAATTAAGTTTTAAAAAAAAAATTTGCCTAAGATTCCTTGGAAATGTTGTTTCCATCAGTTTATTCTAGCTACAAAAAAGACTACTTGATAGAAATGTTAATAGCACACAGTCTTCCATTGGGGCACAGACAATCTAGACTTATTCAATCGACAAAGAATTTCATTGTGAGCATTTAGCAACTTCTGAGCTCCCATAAACTAACCAGAGATTATTTTTATCCCCTAAAAAAATAAAGAGGGAACCTAGAACTGTAGCCAAACACACCCCATACCATCATCTCTGCTCACAGCACTGAAATACATTCAAAGTTGCACGAACGCCTTCAATCAAGAGAAAACTTCAGAAAGCAGCACTGTCACCAGACAACCTGACACTCTGCTGTATGTTCTACATGCACATTTTGGCATCTCACTTGATATACTAAGTTCAAATTCTGAATTGGTCCATCACACTGCATAAAGAGCTTTATGAAAAATAAAACTCATCAGTTTGAAACCGATGCTGTCTAAACTTATTCTGAGGTCTATTATTCACAGAATCACTGAATGGCATGGGTTGAAAGGAACCTCAAAGATCATCTGATTGCAACCCCATCCAAAGACCATTGTGTCTTCAGTATTCTCCTGGACAGCATTCCTGAAGTATGAACTGAAGGATTTTCCCAGCTCTAATCTTTCATGAAACCATAATTAAATTTCCACAGTTAATATTGAATAGTTTCTGTCATCAAAGACAAAATGCATAAACACAGCTATGGTGGCTGAATGTGATACCTTTTAATTTGTAAAGTGGGCAAAATTGACCTCCTATGCTTCAATTTGCTGCTCAGCTGCTAAGAACAGTGCTGCTGTTGTATTTGTCCAGGTACCCTGAAGTGTTAAATCTTTATAAACAACTTCAGAATTTTCATCACCTTCATGTGCACAACAGTAGCCATAATTATTAGGAGGATAACTAATAAAACTGAACTGCATGGACAGCAAGGAAAAGAAGCTAAAAGGACCAGGTCAGAAGTTTTACTACTTCTAATAAATCCTCTAGGGGTAAAATAAATAGTAACTACTACCAAAGCAACTACTCATCTCAGGTGGTGCTTATGAACAAACCTGATCAGCTGAAAATGCATCAAAAGAGTCATCAAAAAGTGTTGATGGTCTCTGAGGGAAAATCTAAAAGGAGATTAGGATCCATAACATCAGAGAAGGAAACGTGTAGAACACTCAATGAATTAACACCATTACAAACCTTACACGCTTCTGGGGACCAAAACCAGAGCTCTACTTCCTCCAAATACAACACTTGAACCTATCCACCATTTTAACCAATAATTTTGTCCTATGCCTGTAGACAGGTCCCATTTACCCTTAGATTCAATTTATTACACACTTGAGTATGTACAGTTCACACTAAAATACTACCCTGTGCTGCTCACTCATGAGATATTTGAGATACAAGAAAGAATATTATTTTCCTTTCATTTAGTAATCCTTTACTAAACGGATATTTTTATGCTTGTAGCATTAATTTATTATTAATTTATTATTATTAATTTAGACTTTTCTAAAGGAAAGTCCATAGTTCGACCATTTCTGGGTATCAGAAACCTGTGAAGTTTTTATACTGCTCCCATTTCATTAGCACACCAGGCTAGTGAATGCTTCCATGACCAAAGGAAGCTATGGCATGCAGCAGGTTTTACACAGCTGCCTAGAAGCACGTCTCATCAGTTTCATAAGGAGCAGCATCCAACCTCACTGCTACAGGTAAAATTATTCTCAGATGCACAGTGTTTTGATGTATTCTAACACTTAAGCTATTTTCAAAAATATAATGTAAAAGGAGCTTCCTACTGACAATTCAAACCTCACCTACAGTTTCCAGTACCTTACATGGGTATGAGCCCTTCTGTGAACAGCAGTTTCCTCACCATCCTCACCCTGCAAGATGAGCAACCAGCAACTGACAGACATGGGTTGAAAATTATCAGTTTTCCCTACCTTTTTAGGAGAAAAGACTCCCAGTGTTCCTCCATCTTCCCGAATGGCAACTCCCATTTCTGCCAACAATGCCTCCCTGGAAGAGTAAAGCAAATTATTTACCACAATTTAGGCTTCAGAAGATAATCTGTGATCAATAGAAGCTCTCAGTTTTATTATGAAATACAATATGCTTTCAACCATCCTATCCACTGACCACGCCAGGGCTGCTGCCACCTTATCACCATAGGGCAAGTTTCCAAACTTGAGCTCCAGAGTTTACAGGAGGAATAAGAACAAGGGAGGTCTGACAACATTACAGTGCAGTGGAGTATCAAAAAGTGAGTATAATTAGAACATTAATCTTCCTTAAGGTGGCAATGAATGTAAAGGCTGTTCTAAATTTAGACATTCAATTAAAAATGAGCAACCATCATGTTAATTTACTAAGATTAATCTGCCTCTTCCTGATCCAAAATAAAAAGCATTCTCTCCTTAAGACCTAAAAGGGATTGTGTGGGAACAGACAAACTCTTCATGTCATTCACTATTCTTGATATTAACAAAGCACAACAGTAACTCCAACAGAGAAGAGTAAGAACCTGGCAAACTATTATTTTTCCCTAAATTACTCCCACAGTCTTTAAATCTCTTAAGAAAACTCCCAAAATGAAAGTGGAATTTCTTTTACACAGCCCTCTCAATTGCTTTTGTTTGGGATTTGAGGACAATTGATTGGTTCAGGTTTTTCTGGTGGGTTGCACTTTTTTTGTTGCTGTTTTTATTTGGGAGAGGTTTTTTTGTTTGTTTTGAGGAGAGGAGGAGGAGGGTGAAGGAAGTGGGAGTGATGAACTCAACTCAGCATCATCAACATAATGCAGTCAAGACTTCTACAGCTCAAGGATCAATTATGAGAATTTCAAAGTATTTAATAAATAGCACTCAGTTTTGTTCCAACCACTTTCTGACAATGTTTAAGCACGTCTTATTGCTTTAGATGCAAGTCAAACCACAGCTGGAAAGCTGAAGTTGTTCCACAACGTAAGGAATTCTGGTACTAAAAGTTTAATCTTTGCTGTTTAAATTCACTGCCAGAGTTTTTGTAATGTGAGAGAAAGGAGGAAGAAAGAGACCAGGACCATATGCTGCTTCACAACAGAAGCTGATGTAGCAGCTTAGGACATTATCCAAACTATAATTCTAAACAGTTTAACTTTGGAAAACATGAGAAAGAATATGGCATTCTCTCAGTACTGCCCCTGTCGTTACACATAATACGAAGACCAGCAGAATTATCACTAAGCCCCATTCTGCTGTTCCACTGCTTTTCAACAGAGCAACATTATCCATTTTCTAAAAACAATTCACATCTACAGCATTTCTAATTCCTGACCTTTCCATCCTAATGGCCTCTGTTTTCCTCAGCTTCTCTTCCCACGTTTCATTCAGCTCTGCAATGATCTTCTCAGATTCCTGTGTAAAAATCCCAAAAGCTGTTTTACAGTGTCCTCAATGTTCTCTACATAAAATACAATTAATATTGATGCTCAGTGCTAGATCTCAATTTAATTTGAGGTACAAAACATATTCAGTGCTTTAAATCACTAAGTCGTCTTCCTTAATTTTTAAGAGAATTAACAGCCTTGAAAGGAAGGCAAAAAGAAAAGAAGACTTCGTGTCTAACCTCAATCAGACTTTAATTTGAGCCACGTAAAAATTTCTTTTTTCTTTAAAATCCTAATTTACAGACATCATTCAGCAACTGGATGCCAGGGAGCCACAGAGAGCACACCATTATTTCCATGGTAACAGCAAGTTCCTAACAAGAAAGGGATATGCCGTGTGTGTTCCAGCCCATTGCAATCCCTGTGGCAGTGTCTCATGGACAAGACATGAGAATGAAGCACAGATTCAACAGAGCCAGCTTTCCCCACTCATCCACCCATGGAGATTGGGGGGGGCCTTCGGTGAAAAAAAGAAATACTTCACTGTAATGCACTTTTGATGCGCTTCAATTCTGTGCAGAATTGGGACAAGGCTGCTATTGTCTGGATAAAGCATGCTATTCTGTGTGCTTCACATTTTAATCTGTGGGGGCTGGGTGAACACAACAGTGGCAGGATTATTCTGCCTCCTTTTTTCAACTTTGGGGTAATTTGGTTTTCTGAAAGCTGACTGTACTTGCTAGTCAGACCTAGTCCACTCTAGTGCTGACCAGGCCTCTTCAAGTCTAGATTTAAGTTCAAATTTCCTGTAATTGCCACTGTATCGAAAGACCTACAAACAAGAACCAAGATCACAATTTTGAATTCAGTGGCAGCTCCAGGCTACAGTTAAAATCATATAATCCTAGCAGAAAAGGCTGTACACAAACGCAGCCTCTAACTCATTTCAGTAAAACGCATTTTTTAGGGTACAAGTGGATTTCAGACAACTTCCTATGGAAACAGCAGCATGCCGGATATATTTTTGGCTGAAGGAAAGTTCTCCCACTTCTGACACTGTTTAGCCTTTGCAAAGACCCAACTAACAGCCTGCTTTCTCTGCAGCAATACTTGCCTTCAAACGCTCAATTGCCTCTTCTCCTCCAGGCGTCGACATGATTCTTTCCTGTATACTGGACACAGATGTTAAGCCCACCTGACTACTGAGAGAGCAGGAGGACGGAGAGGCAGTGAGGGACCCCATGGAGGCTGTGGAAAAATTGCCAGGACGTTGATTCTCGGTGGCTAGCAAGTATCTATGCTTATTGTTCTGAAAATCTTTCAGATCTGAGAGAGACACACACAGAGGGAAGGCAGAGAGACGGGCAAAAGGAAAATAGGAGGAGGGAAGGAACAAGAAAGAGGAAGATAGGAAGGAAACACCAGTATAAGAGGAAAGCATTTAAGCAGCGACAAAACAAGTTTTGTAATTTTTAGATGGCAGTTCTGAAACAAATCCCTTCACATTAGTAGGTATGATAAATAAATCAGACCCTAAGGATTACTAGAAAGGGCTGTGCCATAAATCACTCTGATCAAAAAAGCTTGAAAAAATAAATTACACTCTCCAAAAATAAACTGTCTCATTCCTAAACGAACGTTAAGCTGCTGCGCACCATGAAGGTCAGAACAGGAGCAGTTACTGATGGGATTAGTGACATCCTGGGCTGAAGCCTGAATATACACCAACCCCTATAACTCAGCAAAATGTTACTCACCAGACTCCTTTAACTCAAAGTAGTGATCATGAACCACCGTGACCACAAGGACCACCAGCCAACTCCTCCCTACATGCTGTCAGCACCTAAGGCCACCTGTCAGCCCACCGCAGGGAGGAAAGAACACAAGTTCACAGTAATGTGGTTGTGCCTCCCCCTTAATCCTCTCCATCTCAAAAATGGCCATCTCAGATATGTCATCAGTGAAGCATCTGCTGAGGCTCTGACAGAAGTACCACAGAAGGTGGTTTAAAGCTTTTTGGTCTTCATTTACAAGAAAGACAAAATAAAAAGTTATAAGGCAGCCTGATTAAACAGAGACCTGAAAGATACTTCCTTTAAAGGCAGGAAACAAGATGAAGGCACATGAATGATTTAAAAACATCCAGAAGCAATTTATTTTGATAACTTGGCTTCTCAAATGTCTGTAAACCACGTCCTCAGAATAATCACAAAAAATATTTTGTAACAACTGGACAGCTCAGTTTTAATAATTTCCATGGTTTTAACTTCTAGCTCAAACAAATCCTTCAAAGTACTCTTCTTAGTAAAGAAGTGAAATTAGGCCTTGCAAATTATGAATAAGGGTTTCACTTCCAGAAAAATAAGAGATGCCCAGACAGACACTGCATAAGTCTCCATGTCCTTCCACATCTCCTCAACTTCTACCCTGACCAGCCCTGCTATGGTAAATCTAATATCTGAGCATTCTATTCGGGCCTCGTGGTTGCATCTAATCAGTTTGAAAACCACCATCTGCGAATAAAGGAAGCAAGGGTGGAAGGTTAACAAAAGGAAGGCAGGTTAAGGGAAAGGGAATGCCATCGGGATGAGGAAAGCAGACATGGCAGAGCAGGGAGGATGATGAAGTCTCGAAAGGCCAGGAGACACATGCACTCCTGGAGATGAAGGAAGTGGCACTCGCAGTAGCTTTCGCAGTTGCTGTGATCATTAAGAATCAAAACCCTCAACACCATGCACGCTCCTCCTGGAGGCTGCAGCTTTAACAGATGACATATGCACACGCTGGAAGCAGCATCAGAACATAAGACAAGGCCAGGATGAGTCTTTACATCACCAGTAGCTTTGATTTCAGGAAATTTCAGACAGATCTCTTCTAGCTGATACTGCTTTCAAGTGAGGGGGAAGAAGACTGGCTGAGAGTTTAAAGCAAAATCTGCCAACACAAAGTTTACACTGCATACATATCAGACATCTCTCTTGCAATGGACTTAGTGTATTTCCCTTCCATAAAGGCAAACAGCAGAAAGAAATAAAATGATATTTGCTGAGTGTTTCTAACCCTAGCAAACTAATCCTCACCAACCATTACATCTCAAATAAGGAACATTTTACCAGTACAAGATGTGTAACAACTTCTTGTCTAAAGAGGCTACATAAAATAAACCTCAGTCTCCAGGAGGATCTAATACTATTTCATCTTGAATTAATCAACACATTTCAAATAAATACTTCTAAGTGGTAAAGAGAAGTTAAAAGGTTAGGAAGCTAAATGAGCAGAAGCTGTTTCAGCTGAGTAACTCAAAAGATTTGAGAAAAAAATTCTAGTTCAAACACAAAACGTCAGCTGTCATGGAAACAGGCTAAATTGTGACCACTCTCCCTTCTGTATTCTGCCAGAGAGCAAGCAAGGAACATATGCTGTATTTTAAACTTGGTTTTTTTTTGACTGTGGACTTAGTTTGAGCTGGTTAAGCTAGTTTCCATGAGACTGTATCAAGTTCCACAACGAGGGTTCTGTCTGGGATTTCCCTGTGAGAAATGCTGGCATGCAAAGCTCAGTTAAAAGCTGACCCAGAAAAAGCAGGTTAAGAATAGAACCACACAATACACACATTTGCCTCCACTTCCAGAGTATTCATCTCCCATTGGATCAACTGAAGGGAAGCAGGAGGGAAAATACAAGAAGGATCAAAATTGAAGATTCACCAGTGACACAGGAAGGGAAAAGATTACTACTCCAAGCTTAAAGATATAATACACAGTTTTCAGTAGCATTTTTTTTCAGTTTTGATCTAGAACCAACAAACAGACTGCACCAAACAGGTGTTCTCACGCATTTCATTTTCTCATGGCCTTCATCTCTTGAAAATAAGCAGATAGAAACATTTATACATAAGTGAGGCACAATTTTGTTCCAGAGCTTTACGAGAATACCGGCAAAACAAACCAGTACAATGGAGCTCTACTGACTTAACTCCAACTCTTGCCCCAAAATAATTTAGTATTTTATTCACATGCAACCATTTCAAAATAAGTAAATTTTGAGATGATGAATGCTTTGACACCAAGGGCATGGTCTAACAGGAGTTAGGGCAAGGATGGTACCAAAGTCAGGCATCAATTAATGACCTATAGCCTTCAAGAAATAGGAAAATACGCTTGCTTTCTCAATATAAATCAGTTGCTACATCACAACTATCCTTCTTTTATCAGCACCAGACAAAACGCCCTTCATAACTCACCAAGGCAACTCTTGAATGTAAAAGTTCCATTACAGTAAAATTACTTCCACTGCAATAGGAAAATCCACCTCCATACTTTTCCTTGAGAGTTTGAAGGTGGCCTATTAACATTACAGAGACTGATCCTAGGATGAGTTCTTTAAAGACACAAGAGGCCATTCCTAAAATGTTGTTCCAAGTTTAACAGCAGCTTCTACACCCAATTTCAACATTCTATGGCAGGCCAAGCTCTCCCTCCCCTCTGTAGAGGAGAGACTAAACCCAAGATGGCAAGGTCTGTTTAACCCACTTACTGTCAATGATATCTCCCAGCCCTTGGGCACGCAAGAGATCCTTAAGCCTTGTCACCTCCTCCTTCAGCTCACGCACCAGCTTGGCATTGGGATCTTCATTGATAACAGCATTGCATTTAATCTGTTTTGCACGATCAGCATATCTGGAACAATCAAAAAACAGCCCTTAAAATGAATCCATGTATGTCCATAGGCAACACAGGAATGTAGTAACATGGATTTACATCAGAAGAATTTCTTCTTAATACAGATCACTGCTACAAAAAGAACAACTCTTCTTCAAGATCTATACAAGATGCATTAACAAGGTGTACCATGCATAACAGAATTTTTTCCCCCATTACTGACTGCTCTGAAGCCTCAGTTCAAGTAAAATGCTCAATTCCAGTGACCACACTAGAAAAGAACAGGAGAAGACGAGTTTGACATCTCAAATTAGAAGTAGGCAATGAACTCCGAGTTTCCCTGCTCACATACATCAGTTTTCCCCTTTTGGGATAACTGCATTTTTCCCATTATAGAGTTTTCTTTTCTAGAGGTTTCTCAATTTATATTAACCAAAAATTTGAAGGATAGCATGTGTCTGGTAGAGCACACAGTTACCCACATCCACCTCAGATGAAAGAAAGTGTACCTTAAAGTGCTCAAAGTTTCATCATAGTTGATATCTGCTGGACTCAAAGCAGCAACCATAGCAGTTCGGGAATTACCACCTGCAACAGAACAGATGAAGTTTTAGACAACACCTCAGTGCCCAGTCTAAGCACTACAACCTGCTGAATATCAGCATTTTCCATGAAGTACAGAATTCAACTGCATTCCACATAACTACGAACACATAAAAATCCCGCAGCAAAGCTGCAGCTTTCAAAAAAGGTGAAACACACGATTCAGATTTGACTGTTAAAATATTTAAATCCATAAAGAATGCAAATTTAGGTGAATTAAAAACATTCTGAGAATTTACTGAGGATTTCTTTCCATACTGGCACAGGTAAAGTCAGCCATACCCAGATTTTCTCGAAGAAGCCACGTTAGTACAGAATCCCTGTATGGTATGAAGTCCGTCTTCTTCTTCTTTTTACTCTACAAAGTAAAAGAACAAACAAGAAAAACCTGAAAAATAAACACTGAATGGAAAATGAACACAGGTACTCAGTCAACACTCAAGAGGTGCTGAAAAGGCACCTCTTTGCCCCTCGTCAAAAGTGAGTAACCTTAAAACAGACAAGTAAAGTTAAGTATAGTGGGTAAGCATCAGATGTTGAAGCTTGCAAAATTTTCCATTCACTTTATAAAACTCAGAATAGACAACTGCCTGCAATCTATTACAGAGGTAAGGAAAAAATCATGGAGCACAGAAGCACAAAAACAAAGTTTCCCTGCTGAAAAGGTAAGTATTCCCAAGCTAATTCACCAAATCAGGAGGAGGGATGTAGTCAAGAAAAAAAACACTCCCAAAACATACTTAAGTGTGTGCTTTTCATGTCCTTATATCCAACCTAAGCATATTTTTGGATCCCATTATTGACCATTCTCACATTTCGTAACAATTCTTTATAACACAGTAATTTCTCAAGAAAGATCCTTGTTCATTGGTTCCAAAGACAATAAAATTTCACAACTGGTCGAACACAATAACCACTCTGACCATCCTACCTTGCTGGTGCAGTTATCCTAAGTTGAAAGCATTAAAGAAAGCAGAAGACAATAAATGATGTGCTTCTTAATAGAGCTTATATATGTTTCTATGCTAGTTTAGATAGCATCCTTTTATTGAGAAGCCCCATGAATTAGAACAAGTTTCATTAAAATAAAAACAAAAAAGCCTAAGAAGCACTTAAGCACACTCAGCCTGTCCCAAGCTATTGAGAACTTCCTTTTAAAAGCAGCAGTAATTCACCTTTTTTTGTTGTTTTGGGTTTTTTCAATATTAGTTGAATAAAAAAGGACAAGAGAAAGTACACTTCTGAACCTACAAGACTGTGTTTGGATTACTGTCTGTTTAATCAACTAAACACATTAAGTCTTTGCACTGAAAAAAGTCTGTGATGATCAAACTGCTATTTCTAACATACAACATCTTAGCATTTTAACATGAAACACGCAGTTACATCTCCAGAATTATTCTTTTCAACAGAAATACTACTATGGCTCTGCAGAACTGAAAGCTTGTTATCTGAACACATCCTCTACATAAAAGCAGACTCATTCTGCAAGGCTTCTTCAAAGCTAAATAAACTAATGCTTCAAACTACCTTGAAATAGTTTCCAGGAGGCTCTGTAAGATGTAGGACACACACAGAGCTCACTCCACTGGTAATGCCACGTCAAGAACAGTGAACGACTCTACTCTCACTGTCTCAGTCTTACTAGTTATGGAAAGGATGTTGCAGATAACTAGATGCTGTACTTACCACCTCTGCCAATGCTGAAATAACTTTGCCCAGAGTCGTGAGAGACTTGTTTATATTTGCTCCTTCCTGGGAAAACAGAACCCAGCATTAGTCAGTCTTATTTTTCAATCATGAATCTCTGCAAACTTCAGTCTTTACTTCCACAGCCTTTTTTTAACCTATAATTGCAATTCTTACACTGCTTGTGCACCCACTTCCCTTTTTTCCCCACACATCAGTGGCCCAATACCTTTAATCGGGTTCCTTTGGCACCAGTTGAATCAGCTCGCTCGCTCCCTGCCAGATCTACAAGGCTGATCTTGCTGACCTGAAGAAAGAAAGAACAACTAGAATTAATCCTTGTCCAACTAAAGTAAGAAATTAAGTTACTTCAAAATATCCTATGGCATGAGAAAAAACTGCCTAGAAATGACCACGGTGTGCTTAAAACTGAGGTTTTCACATGCAATTAGTTTGATTATTATTATTATTATCTTGTGGATAAGAAGCATCTGGAATTACAGAATTAAACTCTTTTAAACATCACTATACTCCAGATTACCTAAAAAGAGAGGTTGAGGCCTGCTGCCGTGAACTGAGGTGAAAAGAAACTGTTACTGCTAAAGGCAACATAAGAATCTTGAAGGTAAACAAACTTACAGGTCACCCTGACTATAGAGACTCAAAAACTGTGCTAACAAAGATGGGGGGAAATCCTCAAAACTCCTTTCATCTCTCTCCCCACAGAACCTACTCCTTAAGGCTTAAATTCTTCCCACTTCTCATCTGTAACATACCTTCTCTGTGGAAAGATCAGTTTCTGCATCATGTTTCTTCTGAGTAAAGACAATTGTAAATACAGCGTGCGAGCGGCTGCTAGTTTCATTCATGTTGGTAGCTGCCACAGTCCTAGAAGATGAACACACACACATACTCTCAGAAAACAGCAGCCTCTGTGCTGTAAGTACAACAACCTGCAGGACTCAGTGCAGCTGCAGAGGATCACAGCTCACTTGCACTTATTTTTCAGTCCTCAATTCTTTCCAGCTTTAGCACAGTTCAGAGTTTGCTTAGTCTGTGTACTTACTAACCTACCCAACACTAACATATGAGAGAATGCAAATGACACATCAACCTCACAGACTGCTAAATGAAGCATACTGTATATAAATGACAACCAACAGCAAATAAGAACCTGAAGTTGTAAAGCAACTTTAGTCTTGATCACTTGAGTGAAGGAAAGAAACTACTTATTTATACCAAAAGGCTGACTTAAAAGCCAGTAGAATTACGTATTATTTAAAGACATTACAAGCCTTAAGTATCCATAGTGATTTGCAATACCATTACACCACTTATTCAAAATTTGTGCTGCATGTCATGTAAACCCACAGCAAATAGAAGCATGAAACGTGCTACTGCCACCAACCTGGCCTTGTTTCCAGCATCCATGAGGTCTGCAATGTCTGTGTAAGATGTGACTGCTAGCTTGGACAGATCTTCCACATAAGGGCCAAGCAGAGGATGCTCTCGCACCCGCAAATTCCCTTTGTTCTTCGGGTTCAACAAGTCTCTGACTCTCTCACAATAAATCTCCATGTAACTCACCTGAAAACAGGAATTGGCAAAGATCATTTAATGATTGTTAAGGGCTGGTGGTGTAGTTTGATGTCCAGCACACAGACGTTCTTTTATTCCTCACCACACTCACCTCTACAGAGTACGACATCTCTTCATTGCTGTTGTCATTGATTTTCTCAAACAATTCTTCACATAGCTGGAAAGAGATTAAAACCAAATCAGAAATTAGATCTTACTGAGTAATTAGAAGTAACTACAATGATGTGTCATTAACTTGGCAGAGGAAGAAAAGGATCAAGCATCAACAACAAACAGCGTCACTAGGAAGATACTTAACCCCAATTATCTGTCATTACCATCCAGCCTTGATAATTTATTTTATAAAGCATTTCAATTCTTCAAAGTTTAACCAATACTAATATTCTGTAACAGAAAATTGGAAGAATAATCTGTTATAACATTAATAAACGAAATAAAACCAAAATTGGAAGAGTTTTAGGAACTCATGATTAAAATTCTTAATCCTACACTAGTCTATTTATCTTTTAAAGAATAATCCTGTGTCAATTCACTGGTATGTTTAAGTTTCAGGACTCAGATTTCAATCAACAGGCAAATAGTATCAAAATTCATTTAACAGCATCTTCATACAAAGAATGCTGCAGTCACTCAGCATTCCACTATTTCAGTAGCACTCCTCTACAGTTAAGTCAAACGAGAGACACAAAATTAAGATCATAAAGGAAGAAAAAGAATGAACAGTTGGCAAACGCATAGATATGTGCAAGAAGATTAAAAAGCACGAGGGCAGAGGGATGTGCAAACAAAGAGAACCTGGGAACACATATCTACTGGCTCTGCGTAGAAAATAAAGTACATGGAAAATGCAGGCAAATTTAAAGCATGTACTTTGAAGTAATTCAGCCAACACATGGTTAAAGTCTCAAACATCAAACTACAAGACAGGAAGACAGATCAAGGAATTTTGCCAACACAAAGAAATTTAATGTCAACAACCTGTATTAGTCAGAAAGTGATTGTGCTGTGCCCTGTGCATACGTGACAAGAGGGAACAGATTCAACAGGTTCTCTCTCGTGTCTTTAATCACATCATCCCACCAGATGTGCACAAATATACTCTTCCAACATGACTTCAAAATAATCTACGTATGCAGCTCCAAGTGGGAGCAGAACATTTCCTACATACTTCAATGGGGTCTGCGGCCCAAATAATTTCCTCCCCAAATTATCAAATGCATCAATATATTATTTGATTTCTAACTTTGAGAAATTTGCTTCCACAAAAGCTTTATGGCAGATTCACCAGCACTGTCACCTGAATTCCTGCTGAATGCAAAGGTGCCACGTGCTGACCTCATTACAGTCGGATGAGACAAGAAATCTACTGAACAGGACACCTTCATTTACCAGTTTGTTGGTGAAGGAGAGAAATTGGATGCAGAAGAGCAGACAGAGAACATATGGTACAATTGTTAAAAGTGCAACAATGGAGACAAAATTACTCAGTGTTCTTTTCCAGAATAAGTTTCTTTCAGTTCAGAAAGAAACTGATGTTGTGTGTGAATTGCTATTCGATATTAAAAAAAATAACTCTATTGGACAGCAAGCATCTGAACATGCTCTAAAAAAAAAAAAAATAATAATAATAAATAAATCCCTTTCTTTTTTTGTCATACCTGGGGGATTATCCCTGCTTGGCTCTCCTCCTGTTTGCCCATCATTGTGTAGGATTTCCCAGCTCCAGTTTGTCCATAGGCAAAAATGCATACGTTGTAGCCCTCAAAGGCATGCAGCAACATCTCCTTCCCAATATCATTGTACACACGGCTCTGAGATGCAAAGCAGGGATCTTCAGGCTGAAAAGACACAAAAACAGGATCAGAAACAGTCTTCTCCCTTTCACGTAACATTTCAAAAGCAATTAATTTATCTTGTGGGTCAATTCTCTCAGGAAAAGGCAAAGAGAGCACATTTTTCCACAGATTTTTCCCAAACCAATACCAGCTGAAGCAGAATGACAGCTTTGGCAATGCCACTCCAGCACAGCTGAGGAAGCAACGTCCCAGTTTTGGTTTGTGAACACTGCAGGCACTACTGGGCATGTTTTGTGCAAGATCACTGACAAACGTGATTCAAGGTGCTTGGAATGGAGAGAGGAAAAACATCAAAAGTAGAGTTTGGAGAGTGGATACAAAGGAGGTCTGGAAATCACAAAATCCTGGAGCAGCTGCTCCTGACTATGGCTCAGGAGGGGGAAAAGAGAAGCCAAAGCTGTTGAGTTTTTTTAGACTATAAGAGTGTGGATGAATCGTTAAAACAGACAGCATTTTCTGGCAGCTGTCCTATTGCACTGCATACAACCAATCCAGGTTTCAGTTTGCAAGCGCTGACTCCAAAAATCCCTAAATACATATTTCAAACTATCAAGTAACTCAATCAGCCAAGGACAACGTATCAGAACATTTTTCTATGGTTAGATTGAAGGCAGAGCTACTTTAAAGCAATTCATCCCAGTAACAAAGCAAAGCAAAACCAACCAAACAAAACCAAACAGATAACATAAACTTGAGCACAGATGCAGAAGGACAAAGCGAGACATCATCTTCAAATACCTGACTGAAAAGTTTCTGCTGCACTTTGGATAAAGCCCTACCACCACTACTGTGATTAAAATGAACAGTGCTGCATATGCAATGAAAAAAGAAAAAATCAGAACAATTGCAGTGTCAGAAAATAAACTTGCCAGATCTCAGAGCAAACACAGAACCTGCTCAAAACAAAACTTCACAAACTAAAGACATGAATCCTCTGGTTTTTATGCAGAACAAGTCAAGCTCTGAGGCACTGTACTGGTCAGACTTCAACCAATATTGGAAAAAAATTATCACTCCAGGCAATGCAGATGTTTTAAGTTGCACAAACCAGAGCAGACTGCACAGCTAACATACATAACATACCATACATTGCTCTGCAATTTGATTTTGTAGGAGAATGGCACTGTGGTATTATTGACTTAGTATTTTCTCTTCCTGAAATGTTGAACTTGAACATTAATTGCTCCTGAAATCAAGACAAAATCTAGCTGGGATAACATTCTAATGTTAGACTCAAGGCTCTCAGATCAGTTCTTTTCCTTGACACAGCCTGTCTGCTGGTTTTTGCTACTCAATGTGCTCTTCAGATTCCTTCAGCTGATCCCATAATTCATTTGCACAGCTGCTTTGGAATCAGGAACATTCAGGAATCCTGAAGTCAGGATATTCAGTCAGAAGATTCATAAAAAGGGCTGCACAAATCCAAATTTTCATAGGTTTTTGTCAAGAAAGTATCCTTGCTGGCCACAGATTTACTCAAATATTGTCACATTTGCACAATCCAAATTGCTAAAACTAAAAACAGAGAAAAGCATTACCCATTCTTTCTACATTTTTTGAGAAAAGAGGCAGGGGAGGGGTTGATGGCAGACCAACACAGTTCTGCTTTAGAACAATTACTGGAAGTCAGCAAGACCTTAGCACTAATTTGCAGGAGGGTGGGGCAGAGGAGCTGGATGGGAGAGTTTATTGCTTTTGCAGCCATTAGAAACACAGGTCGCTACTCTGCCTTTTCCAGATGTGCCAAGGGGAACACAGCCCACATCTTTCTTTGAACTGAAGAACATGAGCAACTTTCAGCCATATACAGATAGAACTGAAGGAACTCTGGTTCACGTGCACCTTAAAACACCTAAAACTGTTGCTGAATATTTTAAGTAATCTTTCAAATACCCACAACTTGCTATTAAACTCTAAGAGCTTAGATTTGCCCTCTCTCAAGCTTTCAGTCTTAATGAGGGTGAGAGACACAGAGCAGGAACACCTGACAGGGATGGAACAGTCAGAAAACATGCAAGCAGTTGAATCAAGCCAGGCAAGGAAAAATGGTTTCCTTGTAAAAGAACTTACCGATGTGTGGGACCAGTAAGAGTAGTCAAAGCTGAAGGACTTTGGCGCTTCCTTGGGATTCTTTGGGTTGATAATACCTATAGGAAATACAATTCAAACATTTAGCTAACTTGACACTTAGGAGCAATACTTAATGAGTTTGCTGAGCCTCGATCTGTGTCCCTGAGTATCTCCACACCACTCAGGAGTAATAAGACTGAAGCACCAGACTTAGATCTTCCAAGAAAATGCAATCCTAAAAGGAATGATGCTGCTAAACAAAATTCTTCTGTTCTATAGAAAGCCTGAAGTAGGTCATGCTGCTCCTTTGGCACATAGAATGGGAAAGGCTTTTAGGAGCTGAGGGATATTAACAAGAAGGAGGAATGAAAATACAAAATCCACAGAATCCACAGCACACAACAAAACCCCCACTTTTCTGTCAGTACACCTGTAACTGTGATGCTCTTTTTATTTTCTCAGCTCCCAGAATTGTTTTCAATATTCAATCCACATACATGCATCCCCTACAATTAATGTAATGCTCTTCAAGGTATATTTTAGGTGCTGTTCCCCCCCCCTCCTACAAGTAACCTCTGCCAATAGATTCAGCTGCCATTTCAATGACATACAGGACTCCTGCAGATTGTGTATGCCACAGAGGGTAGTTTATAAGCACAGCTCTTGCTGCATAACTAAATCTCTACTACTGCTGCTTCTTTTCAAGTCTGTATTGTAGGAAATCCTTACAAGATCGTTTCCACCAGCTGTTTTCAAAATCATCTACATAAATAGGATTTTAAAAAGGCGTACTCCTGAGGGTATCAAAATCAGACAAACCACATGTCCATCTGCACCTATAGCAGCCATTTGCCTTTGGAAATCTTATACTAATTAAGATATTTGTAAACAAAAATCTACAAAGAAGAAAGAATACACACAGGTGGTGACATTCTTGCTGGGGAAGACTTGCATTCCAATATCAGTCAGCCTAAGCAAAAGAAGACTGTTTCTCATGCATTCAGGCCAGCAAAGCTGTGCTTCTGGGAGACGGAGACTTCTCCTGCTTCTTGGGAGAAATAAAACCAGAAACAAACTGCAACACCCACCACCCTTTCCATTTCAGGCATTGTGATCTTAACACGTTGCACTGAAGTCTCTGAAAACGCGGTCACAGAATTCCCTTCAAGATGTAATCACTCTGCCAGATGCTGACCCCCCTGAGCCGGACCGCAGTCCAAAACTACACTGCGGAGAAAGGCTCGCTGTGTGGATTACAAATAGCAACAGTTGCTACTCTTTCTGTGGTCAACTTCATTTTCACTTGGACGCACCTTGCGCTGACATTCTTGCTGTATAAAAGCTGACAGACGTGCAAAGCCAACAAATAACACTGCTTCACACCCGTACAGCATCACATGGCAAAGACACGTGCAGCTTTGGATAGCAACACGGGCATCAACGCATACCAAACCAGTAACCTAAGCACTCATATATGGCTCCCATTTCCCTTGCTCCTCTTGACCAAGCAGCAGTAATGCTGCATCTACAACATAGTAGTACATCAATTCTCAAGTGAACAAATCCACAAGACAACCTCCCTGCACAAACCTCAAGCAGCTCTCTCTCAGTGCAACTTCTAGCAGCCTGAAATATAACCTCTCCTGCTCCTCATTCAACTATTGAACAATCAAAGCTCCAGAAGGTAAGAAAGAAATCATGTCCTTCATCAGCAGGTTCCTATGCACAAAATCAGTACCAGAACCAGTCTCCAAATCATTTCAGTGTGTCCTTTAGGAATGAGCACCACCACTTTATTCAATCATGGTGGGTTAAGGGCTTCAGGGAAAGTAATTTAACTGTAAAAAGCAGAAAGCAAGCAGCAATAAATAGAACCCATCCCTATGTATTGTGTAACACAATTCAAAGCAGATACATGAACACATACAAATATTGCTGGCAACTCTCACGACAATTAATTTGCAACCACACAACTTTGATCTCAATCTCCATGGCACAGTCTTTTTTTTAGAGCCTACACTGAAATAACAATTATTTGTACGTCTTTTTAATTCTTATTTTGTCATCTACAAATATAAAAGCCACTTCTTTTGGCCAAAGCATTTGTTCTCCAAGGAAGAAAGTTAACTTAAGATTCTACTGTGTCAGAAGCAGGAAACAGAACAAGGAGCATAAATGTTGGCATTATTCAAAAAGGAATTTGATGTGAAAACACACATTACGCACTAATAGCTTAAAAAATTTAAGTATCACAACACTTAGTCACCAAAATGCCTGATTTTTCACTCAGCTTGCTGCTCATAAAAGCACGCTGACCACCTATGAAAGGTCTCCAGCAGCGCAGCACGCTCAGTGTCAGGCAATGCACTCTGCACCTGCCCTTACAACTCAAATCTGATCCACCACGTTCACAGAGTGATGCTCAATCTCCAGGATTTATGCTAGTAGTGGCTCACCATTTTTTTTTTTATTTTATTTTTTAAATTAGGCTTCTCTGAACTCTTTCAAATTAAGTTCCATGTCTTGAAAACTACTTTCTAGGATGCGCATTTCTGCAAAGTATATCATGAGAAGCATATTAGGAAAGGGAGAACAACGTGAAAGAAAGCAGCTCTGTCAGAGGCTGGGAATGCAGCTGCCTGGCCAAAACCTTCCACAGAACAGGAACAGGGCAGAGGAAACCTCCTGGCTGCCAGCGGCTCTGCATGCTGTCCCTCACGACTGATCCAAGCACAGCCTTTTCAACTCAGTTTCAGGTTCAAGCTTGAATTCCTTTTATCCTTATTTTGATTCCTTACATACAGTCGACATTGTCTGCCTTCAGTACCACTGGTTTAATGGAATCCTGTCTGCCTGCAAAGAAATCCAGAAGGGCAGAACAACTGAGAAAACAAGATTACAGCTTCAACTGATTTCATGTGGACTGAAATCCTCTTTTAGCACACGAAGCATGAAGCTGCTAGCATGGTCAACACAGTCTGAATTTGGACTGAGTGATAAGATGCATCATAAGGCAAGATGTGAAACCTGAAAGAAGATGGTGAGGCAGCAAGAAACCAGGAAATGAAATTAAAGCAACTGACCTAACTTGAAGCTGTCTATTGTGCCAAGGGCCAACTCTGGAAGGACTACTAGATGAAGCTCACAGATATTTCTGAGTCAGACAGAAGACTCGTTATATCACAGGTAAGCTTTATCCTCAAGTTTCATATGCCAGATTGAAGGGGAAAAAAAGCCAAGCACAATCATGCAGAAATTAGACTGAGCAGACGACGCTGATTTCATGCACCAAGCTGTTTTTTCCAACTAACAAGGAAACAAATAGAATTAAGAAGTAAAAGCATCGCTTCCAGCATCCCCAACACCCACAAGAACAGTAAAAGCTTTTCAGTTATTTTGTTTGGTTTTTAAACTGTGCGAGGCCAAGAAGTGCCATATTAGTAAATCACGAAATAGGTCATCATCTATCCCCTCTCACCACAGCAGACTCTCAGCTTGGTACACAAGCTAATGGTTTAATTACAGAGCCTCAGGAAATAAGAAAGGCAATAAGGCAGACGATCACAGCAGGAACACATTAATGGCCTTTTTATCTTACAGAATAAAACTGTTTATTTGATATTTCAAAGGTCCAATGTGGCAATTAACTTTTCTGTTTGCAGCCTGACACTAACACTTTGTGCTGCAGCTATAATTAGTTACCATCAGTGTGGCACTGTAGCAGCTCTGCATGTTGGAGTCGGCCTCAGCAGCCAATGTCTGTGAAACTCAATCCCTTTTTCAGGCCCCCTGCTCCACCAAGAGCCAATTTCTTCGCTCATTTGGAATCCTACAGCTTTCCACAAGTTAAGGTTCCTACATTGAACAGACATTGGCAGGGGATGCTCTACAAAATCACTATCTCCTACAGCACTGCTACTGAAACAAGTCACATGCAACTAATTCAGAACTGTGCCATCTCAACACAGAGAGGCAAGTTCTACAGTTATTTTTACATAGCACTCACAAAAAGGTAAGGAAATAAACAGCTTGGCACTAAGCTTCCTCACACCAAATAACCTCAAGTTGTGTACTATTACATAAGCAATTGCATTATTCTGATCTCTTTTGCAAATGTGATTTTCTGAAGTATTCTATGAAATGATAATACACAGTCTCAACCTATACTCCATACTCTGTACATATAACTTGCCAGAAAATGTGCCTGAGAAGCACACAAAGCATGCACAACTGAGTAACTCTGCAAACAGATCAGAATAAGCCATCAGTCACCTCTGAGGAAGGAGAACACGAGATTCCCACAGAGCAATTCAGAACTCAAACACAACGACAATCCTAAAACACAGCTCACGGGTGCTGCTCCCATACAGTGCAACTGCCAAAACCAAAAGTGGGCTCCAAAGCTTTAGAAAGGTTGCCATGACTTTCTTGGAATCTTCTTACCCAAAGAGATCCTGTGCCATTAACACAATTGGAAGACTACAGGGGCAAGAATGGATAAAGAGTGACCTATGGCCCCATACCCAGTAACATAGCAGATTCTCTTATCACCTTCTGTTCCCACACTCCCCCAAACACAGAGAACAATGCCAGTTCTGCTCCTGCACTTAATCAACTAATACAATAGAAATGACAGATTTGTTTTCCCCCTCTCCCAGCTACTTCTTCATTTTCAGATGCAGTTCATATGTGTGGAGAACTACAAAAAAAGGACTTTTTCAAAACACAACAGATGGCTCACAGTGCAGATTTAGATTACAAGACACAACCCACATATTTTAACCAACTAGTCTTTGTAAAGGAAAAGCTGATAGTAGGAACAGTATAGTCTAACAGAAGATAAGCAGAGAACTGGAGCACAACCAACGAAGGAATTATAGGTATAGATGTGTGGTATTAACAACAAACCCATCCTCACAAAACTTCTCACATGCCTTTACTTCAACAGGCAACTCCAGTGCTTGGCAGGAGGTTCTTCCACACTCCAACCTCTAAATCTCTATTTGTTCCTTAACCAACACTCCCATACCACCCACCACCTGCTCCATCAGCTAGCACAAAAATAACTCATGCTTTC